GTAACCATAGTAACGATATCTTCACTAGTGAAAATATCAATTTTATGAAACAGAGAAATATAGGTATTTCATAGATAATTATATGATAAGATGTTTTATGTCATTCYTTTGATAAACAGGTGTGTTATAATCACTCTGTCCATAACTCTCGAAACAGAAACCATTTTTGAGGAGGTACACCTACTTGCAGAAACGTTGTCATAGAAAATAGAACATTTGAATTTAGTAAAAAGGAATAAATTAAAACAAGACAAAAGAAAGCGTTCAGCCTCAGTGATCTTCTTTAATTTGTCTTTTTGATTTATTCCTTTTTACTAAATACAAATGTTCTATTTTCTATGACAACGTTTTCGCAAGTAGGTGTATTCTTAAACGAGAATCGTCAGGTCTGTGACAATTAGGTATCAATTGTATATAAACAACTTGGCTGCTCTCTATCTTGTTAAAAATATAAAACTCTTCTTGATCAATTTTGGTAAGACTGGTTGATTCTTGTAAACTGTTTGTGTGATGCTCATTGGAAATAAAACTACTCGACAGTATATTTTGACATTACATTACTTGTTTGAAAAGTCACTGGCAAATTGAAGAAAGAAAGTTGTGGAGAAAAAAAGAAGAGAGAGGAATTGAGAACGCTAATTATGAAAATCTATAAAAAACAAACAAACAAAACAAACGAAAAAATAAAAAGATATATCAAAACTACAGGAAACAAGAGAAAATGAATCAAGAACAAATGTTAAGGGTTAAAAGGTTTTTATTTCTGACATTTAGTACTCAGTGCATCCTAATTGCAATAATAATGATAAGACGTTCAACTTGCTAAAGAAGAACAATGTTGCACCTGTTTGGTTTACATACCTACTGAATTCTTCTTMTAATTTTCTTATAATACTAGAATGAAACATTTTGAATCAGARACCATAAGAGTGCATATCTGTATCTAATAGAATATATATTTTAATGTCAATAACTTATAAGTTCCTTTACATGTCCTGATCTACTTCCAACATTCTTCTCGCTCTCGTCCTATTAGACATTGGATTTATAGCTCGAAGCTCGATAGAGTTTTTTCGTGCCTGGTTTATTGAAATATGCTTTACCTTATGTTGGAATTTGATAGGCAATATAAAAAATTCGCGTGCAACCTTTATGGGCTATAAAACTGCTCGCTTGCATACATAAAAGTAAGTATTGAATCATGAATCTTATCGGCCGATTTAGACGACACAACTTTTCCCTACAACTATCGCATGCGACCTGCGTAAGTCTTCCTTACGACATGACTACAACTGTTGTGAGGCTATTAAGCAATTGTTTAAAATCCATACGACAGTTGTAGCCATGTCGTAAGGAAGACTTACTACGCAGGTTGCTTGCGATGGTTGTAGGCAAAAGTTGTACCGCACCGTCTAAATCGGCCTTAAGAGTGTTTCTATATCTTATTTTTGAACAGTTAAGATTATCTTGTCAGATTACTGGACAAACTCAAGTTTAATGATGAACTTGCTTTGTTTTTCCATAGCTTGCTGGTGTATACAACCTATTTTATCCAAAAAGGATACTTTTACTACCGTTTAACGAATCTGTTGGTTCAAATGCATTGATCTCTCCATCAGACCTTCTTTTCAGCGCTGTTCTCCTATCAGACACCGGATTTCTCGATTGCAGTTCGACGGGGTTATTTGGTGCCGGGTTTGTTGTCTGTCTTCGGCATAACACTTTCCTCATTGCTGCCCGAAAATCAGACAGAAATATTACATAGATACAAGGACTCAAACAGGAGTTAACGAGAGGTAGGAAACTTTCAACAATAAACCTTAATGATTGCCAATCAATACAGTAATATATTATATCAGATGAAGGGATGATAAGGAGGACAAATTGCGAAACTGTAAAAACTAAGAAGGGAACCCAGCAACTTGCATACAGCAATGTAGAAGCGAGAACCATTCTTACGGCTTCTTGAATTCGACGTTCTCTTAAATTTTGTTGTTCTTTGCTTAGATGGTTTTGGTTTTGGATGATTTGGGGTTTGGTCAGCCGGATTATTGTTAGAATGTTGTACAACCGACAATAGTCAGAATTGCAGCATGAAATAGGATAACGATTAAAATGATTCTGTTATTCTTTATATCCTACAATTTCTTCCCGACAGCCTTGCCATGTACGCGTAAAGGATGGAGCTTATCGTGGGAAACAAACAGGATACAGCTATTATTATCCGTTGTTTCAGTGCGGATGGCCTCGTTCTATGCAAGGTTTGCCTTGTTGCTCTAAATCTTTGATTATGAAATTTTTGATATATAACGCGCGCTCTGATTGGCTGACGACCGTGTTTATATCAGAGGACAGAGACTCGGCTTACCAGCAAAATTTTCTTTTCGCTCGAAACATTTTATAAAAGAAATATAAAACGGCCTCTTGTGTCTCTGTCCTCTGATATAAACACGCTGGGAGTTGAAAAACACTCGAGAAGCAAGAAAAACACGCTCGTGTTCCTAAGCTTGCTTCTCTCGTGTTTTTCGAACTCCCACCGTGTTTATATCAGAGGACAGAGACACGCGCGCCGTTTCATATTTCTTAAATACGGATGGCTAATAGAGTAACTAATCATACTTTAAGTAAAAGTTCCTATATATTGCCTTTATAGTTTGTTCGTCGAATCCGTCTTTGTTATCATCAGCTTTTTGCTTCAAGGTTTTGTTGGCGCAAAAGGGCAATGATTTCGCACCAAAGATATGCACTAGCATCTTGTATTCGTCGGGAGGTCGATCCATGCAGTCCATCCACCGAAGGAATATAAGGGCGTTCGTATCTGATGGTGAAACCCTTGTTTGATGAAACATAGCTTCTATGTCTGACGTGAGGGAGTCTTCGCGAAAGCGGATCAGCACGCCAACCAGGTCATTGGTCAAATAGGCTGGTCATTGGAGTAGTTTGTCGTTAAGAGACGTTCCTTGTTGCTTGGCGACTGCGTCGAAGACAACCCGAACTTTTCCACATTTGTTAGGATTCAGCACTGGATGATACGGCAGGTACCAGGTTTTGGTTGATCGTTCTTCAGCTTCACTTGGGCTTAGCTTCCTTGAGTATCCTTTGTCCACATATTCTTGAACTACGGCTTTATACTTCCTGATCAGGTCATCATTTCTCTTTAGTCGATTCTTTAGATGCTTTAGTCGCAATTCGGCCAATTGTCTGTTGAAAGGCAAGTGTATGTCTAGTTTGCGTCACGGTAAACCCATTTTGATAATGGCCATCGACTTTAGAGATGATCTCTTGTATTGTCCTTATCGACTGTCGATCCTCAACTGAAATTGTTTTGGCCATCGCGTTTTCAATACCACATGATTTGATTTCCCAGAACATTTGAAGGGTTTCAGTTAGCGTACTTTCATCGCAAGCTCACGTACAGTTAACGTTGAAACGTGTTTGGTCTTGTCCCCCCCCCCCCCCCCCCCCCCCCCCCCCCCCCCCCCGTCCGACAATACTCTAGCCTTGTAACGACTTGATGGCAATTGGTTGACTTCGAGTCCCTTTTCTGACTTCGATGGGAAGGAATGCTTGTTGAACGTTTTTTCCCAGTAGCAAGGATCAACCACCGGAAATGGTATGGCCTTTAGGTGCGGTAGGTCGCGAACGTCTTTGCTGATATGCCTAAGAGGAATATTGAGATATTGTACTGTCCATGCTCTTGAAATCTTTACAGGCTCACTTTCGTTGGAGTTGACGGACGATATCTTGAGCTTCACACCTTTCCTCTGTTCTCTGCAAGTTCTTCATTACAGCTGTGTCGACAGTTACGATCTCTTCCTTTCCTTTAATATGAAGTTCATCTATTCGGGTGGTGTCAGATCCGGAATCAATCAAAGGCGTAGCTAGGTTGACACACATATTTTCTTGCCGAACACGGTGATCGGGACGACTTGTAACAAGGCAGACTGTTTGCTTGAGGTAACTTTACATTGTTGAAGTTTCTTTTGGGGCATGTCCACTTTGGATGGCTGGTTATCYTCTTTCTTGTGCGTGGTTTCGTAGTTGTGAGGTAGCGTGTTATGTAGCTTCTTGCACTTTTTATATCGATCCTTTGACAGGCATGCACGAGATAMATCAGTCTGTGATGAAATGCAGTTGAACACTGGACAAACTCAAATTCAATGATGAACGTGCTATACATTTTACAATAGCTTGTTGGAGTTTTAAAACATATTTTATCCAAATAATATACTTTTACTACCGTTTTACGAATCTGTTGGTCCAAATGCATTGATCTCTCCATCAGACCTTCTATTCCGCGCTGTTCTCCCATCAGACACCGGATTTCTCGGTTGCAGTTCGACGGGGTTATTTGGTGCCGGGTTTGTYGTCTGTCTTTGGCATAACACTTTCCTCATTGCTGCCCGAAAATCAGACAGAAATATTACATAGATACAAGGACTCAAACAGGAGTTAACAATAGGTAGGATATTTCCAATAATGTACCCTAATGATTTCCAATCAACGCAGCCACGTGGTACATGTGAACGGATTATAACGAGAACACACTGCACAGCGTTGCAAATGCGTAAGGGACCCCAGCAACATGMATACAGCAATGCAGARGCGASAACCATTCTTACGGCTGCWTGAATTCGACGTGCTCGTAATTGTCGTTGTTCGTCGCTTAGGTGGTTATGGATTCTTTGTGGTTTGGTCAGCCGTCTTATTGTTAGAATTCCAAGAGCGAATATTGTAACAATGACAATAGCTAGAAAAGCTTCATRAAATAGGAGAACGATTAAAAAGATTCGGTTGTGATTCGGTATTTCGCTCAAAAATATTGCACAAGTGCTGCCCTTAAGCTTTGYAATAYTCGCGTAAATGGCGGAGCTTATCATGGGAATCAACCAGGAGAAAGCAATTGCTATGCCTTGATTCAGTGCGGACGGCCTGGTTCTTTGCAAGGTTTCACTTGTTGCCTTGAATCTTTGAATACTGATGGATAATAGAGTAAATAGTGTTACTTGAAATAAGGCGTACAACAGATRTGTTATACCTTTACACAATATGACACCCAGTGTACCGCTGAGATCTGATAAGCTCCATTTATAGCCAGACAGCCATGGAATTCCTTCYAATAACATTGTTAACAGACTTAGTGCATCTGAGACGGCCATGTTGATGATCCAAYGATGCAGTCCCTTRCGYACTGTGTAYTTAGCAGCGAGTATGATGACGAAGATGTTSAAAGAAATCCCCAAAATAATAAGAARTACATAGGCAGTRCGTTTAGCAATTTTCTCAAGATCAGTGTCTGGTTCCCAATACTTGCAATACGTGTTTATCGAACTGACGTTAGAGACGTTAGAAGCGAGTGTCATGTTTGAGTCGTTCATACTTGACTATAGTCTATCTCTGCTCGTTGAATGTCTGTATATATGGGTAAAATAATAGAAATAAAGACAAGAAGACACTTTATATACGTTCTTATAATGACGTATGTGGTCTATGTGCGTCACTATTGGGCATTAGTATTACCATTGAAAATCCTTCGTTCTGATTGGTCACGATACTCGGAAAATGTTAGGAAATTCTCATACAAAGCATTTCTGTCTGAAAGGAATGCTCCCCAAGATCATCATAATGAAATARTTTCCTATTTTTCCCTTTAAGATATGTATTACCTCCAAGAGAGGCTGTAATTATCTCGCTCTTATCCATCATCCAATCTAGAATTAGATTGCACAGTGTGATATTAATCCGGTATACAAAGATAATTATTGTATTGTTTATAGATGATATCAAGGTATGTTTTATCAGTCCTTACATCGTTCGTTACCGTGATCACCACTATATTTCTCTCCGTTCGATAAATAAGCGACAACGTGATTGAGTGATAAATATCATTTGTTAAGGTTAAGGTTAAGGTTAAGGTTTTTTTCTTCCAGAAAACCCTCGATTTAGGCCTAAACTTTATTTTAGCCAAGAAAAAAATTAAAAAAGGCTATCCTTGGAGAGATATACAGGGAAAAGTAGTTTTCTATGTGTTAATCCTTACTAATCCCTTGTCACGTTAGCGATACTTTCACGGTACTAGCAGTGTTCGCAGATTTTGTCTTTCGTCAGCGTGGTGTTTTTGCTTTGCCTCTACTTTAAGTTGAGGTCTTTTTGGCCACAAAACCGTTTTACTGGGTTTTGTTTATTCTTTCTGCCTTGGCTTGATAACTTAGTCGCGCGTGAAGTGATTTTATCGCGAAACTTTATTGCTTCAATTCTATTGGTCTACGGTTGCGGCTTTTTGATCTAGCGCTGACAGAACAAARCTAAAAATCCATAATCCCCAACACGGTTTTTGGGCCTGTCATGTGTTGATTGAATAAATCAAGAATTCAAGTTATTCCGCAAATATCTACGTGACTTATACTCTTTAGAGCAATCATCACACAATTCTAGCTTTCATGCACAATACTCTCAAGGAACTAAATAAAATCAGAAAAATCATATATAGCCTTTTTCTCCATTATATAAGCTTTACACTGATATATAATTTGTCTACATCCATTTATAATCAAAGCGTTGGAAATTGTTTTTCGGAGGCACCCCACGAGGGCGAACGGTAACCTTAAGTAAATACTGATTAATGGGCAAATTTGTGTTTAAGATTAAAAATAACATACGGAATTTCGTATAAGATGTTTTATGTCATTCTTTTGTTAAACAGGTGTGTTTTAATAACTCTGTCCACGACTCTCGAAACAGAAACCATTTTGAGGAGGTATTCGAGAATTGTCAAGTCTGTGACAATTAGAAATCAATTATATATAAACTACTTGGCTGAAACTCTTCTCGATTATAAATTTTGGTATACCGGCTGGTTGATTCTTGTAAACTTTTTGTGTGATAGTGCTAATTATTATTCAAATTATTAATTCTTAATTATAAAATGCAGCGACTTGCATTTTTATTTTTTATTTTTTCCACGTCGCAGTTTAGCAATCCAAAGGGACCTATAATCCAGAGTTCCAAGGTTCGATCCTCGACTCGAGCACGTCTGAAAAATTATTTTTTCTTTCTCTCTTTCTTTCTTTCTTTTTTTTAACTGAAATATAGGTGTTCTAGTCATGTTCGATTTTTATCGTATCAATTTGTTATAATAATATTTAGGAGCCGCGTTTGTTAAATTTTAGAAACAAGATGATACTCGAACAGTGCCGTCGAACAGAGGATCGCTGGTTCAAATCTCGTCTCGAGCACATTTGTTTTCTTTCATTCCTTTTTTTGTTTTCTTTCATTCCTTTTTTTGTTTTCTTTCTTTCCTTTTTAAATATAATATAGTTGTTATAGTTATCTTGATTTTTTCTAGATTTTGTTTAATAATTATTTTTGAGGCATTATTTTGATTTTACACAGTGAATATTATACTCGACTCATTTTTTTTTAACTGAAGTGATGTTGTTATAGTCATAGTCATGTTGATTTTTTTCTGTAGATATTAATTTAACAATTATTTTCGAGCCTTTATTTGAACATTTTACACAGACTATCGTACTCGAATAGCGTCAAACCAGTTCTAAGAGATTCTTTTTTTGTAGATCTGAAACCCTTATTGGTGAGTTTAGTGTAATTATTGTTTTGTTCTATCATTGGGCTCTCTGACTCACTKATATTCGTTTCTTCTCGACGTTTCGACGCCAGATGACGACCAAAATGGCGTCGAAACGTCGAGAAGAAACGAATATCAGTGCATGAGTCATAGAGCCCAATGATAGAACAAAACAAGATTCTATTTTTCTTTCCTTCTTTTTTTTACTGAAATATAGTTATTCTTATCTTTCATGTAGATATTTCTTTTACATATTTTACACGCAAGATCATACTTGAATAGCGGCGTTGAACTGACAATCTCGGCTTCTAAATATGTTTTTTCTTTCTTTTTTAACTTTCTTGAAATATACTCGCTCGTTCTTTTTTTCTTTCTAAAATCATTTTATGCAAAGTAAACTTTCATCTTATAAATTCTCTGAGGATAATGCGAATGCTTTCTGAATGCTAAATTTTCGCTGCAATGATAAAAATATTCAAAAAAAAATGATGTGAAAATATCATACGCAAAATCAATCGCGGCGCTGGTAAAAGTATATATTAGCCAATAAAACTACTCGATAGTATTTTGACACTGCATTACTTGTTTGAAAAAGTTGTAAATTGAACAAAGAACGTGATGAAAAGAAAGATAAAAGGATATATCACAATTAGGGAGATTAGAAACAAGAGAAAATTAATCAAGAATCAATGTCAACGATTCAAAAGTTTTTATTTCTTATATTTAGCACTCAGTGCATCCTAAATGCAACATAATCATAAGTTCAACTGGCTGAAGAAGAATTCTGTTGCACCTTAGTATTTTGATTAAAGTTCACATGAACCATTTTTAACAAAAGGCAAATATGATATATGCTATTCAATGTTTTGAAGAAGAAAAAGTGTTTTGAATTCTATTTTCTGAGTTAAAGGCATTTGAAAATTGAAAATGCTAATGATGTGRCGTCGATGGAGGCTTCATTARATATACGAACTTTGAAGGAAACGTTGCTTAAAAATGGTTTCATGGTATTAAATTTATCGTAGGCAATGCAGGGAATAATCATATTCCCAGTTGGCGTYCATGAAMACACTTTAGAGCGAGTMTTTCAAAGTTCGTATATTTGATGAAGCATACCTTGACGTCACATCATTAGCATTTTCAATTTTCAAATGCCTGTAACTCAGAAAATAAAATCCACAAAAAAATTTCTTCTGCAAAACAAAGATGATTTTCATATTTTCYCTTTGTTAAAAATGATTTTCTATAATGATTCATATGCACTTTAATATTTTGTTGAGTTAGTTTACATACCTGAAATCTTTAATTTCTTAGAATACTTGAACGAACAATTTTGAACCAGTTAACGTWAAGTTCGTCTTTTGGTTATTGTTTTTATTGTTTTTGACTATAAACAGTTCATTTAGATGCCCTGATTATCAGACCTTCTTCTCGCTCTCCTCCTATTCCTATTTTTTAAAATAGTTTAAAATCACTGGATTTATAGGTTGCGGGTCAATGGGGTTACTTGGTTGATTGTCTGTCTTCGACAGAGCACTTTCCTCATTGCCTCCTGAAAATCAGACAGAAACATAACGTACACGTCAGGACTCAAACATGAGTTAGTCAGAGGTATATGTCTGTATACATTACGTAAAATAGTACTGCTTTCTAGCTAATACATATACTTCTAAAAGAAAAATAAATGTATCCAAATTAGAAATTGTTTTTGACTGGTATACTATCCTCAGTACAAATTTATTCAAGACTCATAGACTCAAACAGGAGTTGAACATAGTTAAGAAATAATCAACGATATAGAACAGTGATCAATACARACTTGCAAATCACTTAATCAACTGACGTGAACACAACGTGAACAACAAACAAGTAAACCAGCAATAGGTATAGTAAGTAATACAGGCGAGAACCATTCTTWCAGCTGCTTGAGTTCRACAAAAGTTTCGATGTTTTAATTGTTTCTTAAAACATTTGAATWTCTTTGTTTTCTATGGCCTTATGTACCTTATCTTGCTCTATATAGGGTTATTTGCTTGATTTCTTTCATAATTTMAATGCTTTTACATTATTTTACATTTTTCTGAAACAAAAAGTCATACCAACAATGGAAAGTAAAACGTGAAGCG